AGTTCACAAGCTATTGTGAATTGATTGAATGCTCTCGACCAATCAGATTTTTCATAGTGAGTCTGATGTATAATAATAGTAGTTGTCGATAGTTGCTTGTAGTCATAGGTAGTTACTAGTAGTTGTCGGTAGTTACTAGTTACTAGTAGTTAATGGTAGTTCTTGGTATTTACTAGTAGTTAGTGGTAGTTATTAGTAGTTACTCGACTGGGTTTTTTGGGGTTGATACCTCCCGAGTTTGAGCATTAACTACGTCGGTATGAGTAAAGATATGGAAAAAAAGGTTACCACAACTGTATTATATAAAGATGAAAATTTCTTATGATCTGGGTTTTATTGCAATCGGAGTTGCCATGGCAACGTAATGACGCCATTACGTTTTTTATTTATCGTTGTGTTTCTCTGTACCAGGAGCTTTTTGAAGAAATCGCTTAGGGAGTATGTACCTGCCATAATTGCCTCCCTTATGGCAAAGTTTGAAAAAATTCTATGAGAGCGTTTTCGAGATTTTTCGAAATGCAGTTTTAACTTCAACTTTATTCATTCACTTTCAATTTACAATTACACGATAGCTTCCACCCGCGTAGCAGGGAAATAGCATGATAGCCGCTCAATTCGCTGATATTTTAAGAAAATGATAAGCTTTAGGAACGCGGCTTCATCTCCTAGTGGTTCGATTCCATTGAAAACTGCATACAAAAAAGGGGGGAATTGCTCTGGGCGATCGCGAGTAAGAAGAATTTTATTAACTTGCATTCATTTTTGAAGTAATCACTGTATTTCGCATGCTTCCAATAGGTGCTGAGAACAAGGTATTCATCTTTGTTCAATTTAAATCTATCTTCTACACGTCTAGGCCACCGTCTACTGGCTAAGATATCCCCATCTTCCACTTGCAAGACTTTTCCACTGTGTCCCAAATAAGAGAAGGAACCGAGATCCGTTGCTAACCAGTCACCTTTGCCTTTTAACGCAGACCTCTGGATAACAAAAGCCGCGTTTTCCTGTACAGGTAGTGGCTGCTTTGTACATATTCTTCTTGAATCAACGTTTGTAACTAGCACATCAAACTTTTCTTCAAAACTAAGATCTTGTTTGCCCTTTTACAGATAAGGACACTCAGGTCCATAAAACAATACTTCTTCACTAAAAAAGACAGAAAAGTAAATTAATGCTGATAATTAAGCCCTGATGACTGACAAATGTGCAGGCAATGGCACACTTAACACCCTAGTTATGAGGTTTCGGCCAAAGGAGATAAAAATCTCTCCAAGTCAAATGCATTGAGCGTGTCTATGAACACAACCTGGCTTCCAAAAAAAGTAAACACGCTGTTGCTGAGTTCCATTCAATCACTGCAAACTCACTCAAACAAAGGTCATTAATAATGAGGCCGAGTCACAGAGTCAATGATTTTTATTTTTTTCAGAGAAATATTTGATATGGTTGCCTCTGAGAGAAGGTTGCCTATTTACAGGGCCTAAAGGTTGGATGGTCATTTTGATGATTGGGGAGGGGAGGGGTGGGGTGCGTTAGGCCTACCGGTTCTTACCGGTTTGGAGGGCTTATATTTGGAGGGGCTTATACATGGAGGGGCTTATTTTCGGAATTTTACGGTATGTCCTGTAACCTGTAACTTGTGACCTCACCTGTGACCTGTGACCTGCACTTTAGCCTCGCCGTTTAGCAAAAGTATAAAAAATAATTAATGAATAAATATGCTCCCTTGCCCCAAAATATAGAACTTGCACTGTTTGTCAAGCCTGTACATTATTTTCCCCACTATTAATTCCATGGCAAGGTCATCCAGACATCTTATAAGATAATTCATGATTGCTAGTAGTATTGTTCCTTTAATTCAACCTGTCAGAAAACAACAGAAAAGTTTGCAGATACTGAAAGACATATAGACTGCAAGCAATCTCTCTTTTGCTCGAGAATCTGTAAGGGAGAGTATTTGAGCAGCGTATTAGAATTTGCACCCTCACAACTCACAGGACTTTGCTGCTCGAATACTCTCGCTTGCAGCTTTTCGAGCTGAAGAGAGACTGCTCACAGTCTAGAAGACATACAACATAAAAATGATGTACCAGTTTTATGAAACCTTCACATGTAGTATTTTATATTATACCTTCATAGGGGAGCCAGCCTGGCATAAGGACTCAGTTCTTCTCTATTTGCACCCTCACTCATCCTTCTTTTTACCATCTATTTTTATGCATATGAGGTTGTTATAAATAAAATAGAAAAACTTGTATAATTAGAATTAGGCAGACATCCACACAAAATTTGCTGCTTTCTGCTTATCAGAGATATCCACTAAATACAGGTTTGTTTTCCTTAAATTATGGAAAGAAACGTTTTGCCACATTTTAAGCTATTCGACTGCTGAATACAGGGTAGGTGTCACCATACAATGAAGAAAATGAGTTAATTAGCCTTTCACTGAGGAGGGGAGGTACAAGAAATAAGACATAATTATAAACAAGAAGCTATACAGACCTTGAACGTATTGCAGTAGTTTATATTCTTGACACTTCTGAGTGCTTTCTATAGAGAAAAAAAAGAAAAGACTACATTCAGCAGCCGACACCTAAAACCATGTGTGCCTACAAAAGTAGACAAAACTTGCTGGATCTATAAGTGGCAAACACAACATCAAAAGGTCCTATGCATCCAAACCTCTACATTTGTTATCCATGCAGTAGTGAGCCAGAAAGTTCCCTGATTGGCCAACTTAACATAGATCGAAACTTGGTTGAAGTGCAGAATGGCTGGTTTTGGTCTTTCTCTGAAGGAGCTTTTGTACAAGGAGTGATCCCAGAATCAGAGGTGAGGGCATACGTTTTCATCAGTAAAGGTTGTTTTAATTCCGTTATCACAATTTCCTTGGCTAAAATTTATCTGCTGGCTAAAATGACAATGTATCTGTTCAATAGAAAAGTCGTTTTTCTGTTACTATACAACATAATTAACCTTGGAATATGTAAAATCAAGCGCTATTGAGTTTCGAGTCACCTAATCTAGGACTACTCCTAGTTTGTAGGTGGGTAAAGGTTTCTACTTCTTCTTTTACCTATTTATTACATGTTTGCATGTTTTAACAGTTCTTTTTTTTTCTTTTCTACAGCGAGGTATCACATCACCAAGAGCGTATGTCCTCTATGACAGCCTCCAACAGCCCGATCCTAAATACTTCGAGCAAATTCTAACCAATAGCCTACCTGAAGGGCAAATACAACAGTTTTGCGCTGATTTCCTCGCGCTATTCAGAGATAAAGAACACAAGCGACCTGTGCCATGTGCCATCAGAGCTTCTGACAGCGGCAAAACGAGCCTGTTCAGCCCAGTGTTTCAAATTGTGCCGTTAAGCCGAATCGCTCGTGTGACCAAACAGAAGAGCTTTAACAAGTCGATGATTGACAGCTCCACGGAAGTTATCTTTCTCGACGAGGCATACAACAACCTGCTCGACATAGATGACTGGAAGATAATTTGTCAAGGCAGTTTTACATCCCACGATGTAAAATGGAAGAAGGTCCAGGGGTGCCACTGCCGTGCAAGTATGTACATTACATGTCAACAGGAGATGGACTTTGGCGAGGCCCGCAATGACGCGATGAACCGAAGACTTCACAAGTTCTTCTTCAGAAGCTTGCCCCAAGTTAACCCGGAGGCCAACCAGTGGCTGCGAGAACATGCAATGGACTGCATTGTATGGGCCCAAAAGATGGTTGCTACAAACTCCACTACCGCACAGACTGGAAGGACTTTAGGAGAGCGTGAGGACGGTTTAGAAAGTGAAGACGTTCAGAGAATTTTGTCCGATTCCCTACTGGATGACCCCGAGTGCAACACGGAAGGCGGTGAAATCTCACTCACGGATGAAGAGGAGAGTGAAGCCGAAAGCGACAGCTCCGATGAAAATGAAAATAACAACCACATAGACAAGCTTCGCCATGAGCTCGAAAAGGCGGTGCCGGGTGGGTTTCGGCACAGACAGCTGAGCATGCTCCTGCGAAACGCTCAAACACAGCACAAAGCCATCCAAAATCGCCAAATCGCCGGACGTCGACGATATCTAGTAAATTTAGGAGTGACCAGCAAATCGCAGGCAGATCGACTGATTACGCATCCCGACGAGCTGCTACCAACCGACCTCGCTCGCAGAGAACAACAGGCCTTGAAAGATAGGGCAGAACGTCTCGAAAAGCAAAGGGAAAGAGATGAGCAGAAGAAAGAAAAAAAAGCATTCTCTAATCCGTGGCTGTTAGAAATAGAAAAAGAAATGGCCGAGAACAATATGTGTTTAGAGAGAGGCACAGACCCCGACATGAGTGCAACGCTGGGGAGTCTTTTGGAGATTGACTGTGAGAAACTCCGCACATTTCACGAAAAACAAGGTACCCTTCGCCTGCAGATGGCTGTGGAGAAAAGGAAAGAANTCGACTGATTACGCATCCCGACGAGCCACTACCAACCAACCTCGCTCGCAGAGAACAACAGGCCTTGAAAGATAGGGCAGAACGTCTCGAAAAGCAAAGGGAAAGAGATGAGCAGGAGAAAGTAAAAAAAGCATTCTCTAATCCGTGGCTGTTAGAAATAGAAAAAGAAATGGCCGAGAACAATATGCGTTTAGAGAGAGGCACAGACCCCGACATGAGTGCAACGCTGGCGAGTCTTTTGGAGATTGATTGTGAGAAACTCCGCGCATTTCACGAAAAACAAGGTACCCTTCGCCTGCAGATGGCGGTGGAAAAAAGGAAAGAAATCTGTGTGAAACGTGGATTAGTGGATCCTAGGTACGCGAGTTCCGTTAGAGATGTGTACTCACCTTTACCGGTTATCGTCGAAGGTAGCAACCAAAACATGTCCAGGCCAACGGCTTCAAACGACGATGGTAATACGCCAAAGACACCATCTTACGACCCGCCTGAGGACACGCACCAGACGATGTTTACTCCACCTACGAGCCAGGAGGCCGTCGAATCGGAGAGCGAGGACATGTTCATTACACCGAAGACACCTTGTTACGAGCCTTCATTTGATTAGAGCATTTGTACAGGCTCTTCACCATTACTGAGGCGAGTACCCTCACCTGACAACAGACCTTCGAAGCGAGCAAGACTCTCGAGAAGCCAAACAACCGAGGGACAGAAGCGGGTGACTAGCTTTTTCAGTTCGCAGAAACGTGTAAAAAAGTAGGATCAACTTAGGTGCCCGTACATCCAATTTAAGATATACTAAGTTAAACTAATTTGAAGGCCTTTACGCCACAGAACACTAGTATTATTAATGTTTTGTTGTCAGTTTCAAATACCACGTCATTTTTGCATGTTTTCTACGAAGCCCCATGATGGCATGGTCATGCCGAGAAATTCAGTCATTAAATAAATCATATTGACTTTATGGATTTAGCTTACATTATCTCTTCTTCCTATAGTTGTTTCTCGCATTTTATGTGGGGCTAAAGTTTACAATAATTCATTTATTTGAGTTCAAGATTTAAGATAGCTACATGCCCTTGAGTTGGTTCGTTAAGTAGGACCTTGCCAACGCTGCGTCGATTTTGAATATGATCCAAATCTTCGAGCGGCTCGGCTCAGAAGAGAGTTAGCTGTTCTTCCCTTTTGGAACTGAAAGTCGGGGTCTGTTAGAATCGCCTTCCATTGCCCAAATCCGTGCCGTTTAAGTCCAGCTTTGAGGAATTTGTCTTCCTCGGGGGTGAACATTAAACTCTTCCGTCGCGTGCTTGTTTCGGTCACTCTGAACGCATTTTCGCGCCTCAATTTTGGCACTCCTACTAAAGGCTCGCGTGTTGTATCTGTAATTACGTCTTCTTCGTCATTAGAAGACGTATCGGTTTTGCTAACATCTTGTTCTCGTGAAGAACTTGAATTCTCAGAAAGCCTAGAGCGTACGTCCATCTCTAGCTCTGATCCCCTCTCGCCCTGTAGCCTTTCCAAAAATGCATGTGCTTTGCTGGCGACTTCGCGAGATCGCCGTTTTTGATAGTGAACTCTTGCCACAATAGAGCTGTGTTTCTGGTCCTCGGAGATCGCATCTTGCGCGCTGCTGCTGAGAGTTCTAGAGCTTGCCGTCTCCACTATTTGGCTGTAGCGAGTTGGGAGAACATACTTGCCTGTTGCAACACCAATTTACTCATTGCTTCTCCTAGCTTGTTATGTTGTCGACCATTTCTCGTGACTAAAACATAATCACAATTAGGCTTGAGAAGTGGGCGAATGTGGTTGATGTAGCCTTCTAGGACTTGCATACTGGTGTCTGTCAGGAAAAGGGAATCAAAACCATACTTTCCAGCTGTCTTGAATTGTTTTTGGTCTATGAATCCGCCGTTCGTCTTAGCTTTGTCGACCATTTCTACGGTTAGATATTGGTATGTCATCGGTCGTGAGCCTTTAACCTTGATAAACAAATAGACTGCCAGAAATTTGGTAGCGAACGATAACTCCAGTGGCGAAACAGTATCTGATTTATCCCTGCATGTTTTAAGCACGCTCTCGTAGCGCGGCAAGTAACGCCCCACCACCTCTAAAAGCTCTTCCATGGTGGCGCAGTGCCCCTTGGCTTCTAAAGCGTCAATATCGAGTTCGCTGGTCCATTGTAACCTCATCATCTTTGACACGGTTTTTCGCACCCTTTTTAAGTACATTTCTGCTGTGGAAAGGCCTCTCCATACTGTTTCTGATGCGCCATTTACTTTTCTGAAATCCGCTAATTCTGCAATAGCGTCCAAGTAACCTATGCGTCCCGCGTGTCCGAGTTTCCATTCATCCTGCATCGTATCAACGAATTTAAATAGGAGATTCGGTGAACATAGGCTGAAATCAACAATGCCAAATGTGAGTTCCTCTTCGTCTTCGCAACAGAATTTGAGAACCTTTATACACCTGCTGACAATTTGCTGTGCTTGTCGATCGCTTTTACAACCCCCGCCGCTGCCAGTTAGCCATGAGGAAAAACTCTTAGAAATGTTGTTTTTCAAGTCAAATGAGGCAATTGCTCTCGTTGTACGTGGAATCGTCCGATCGTTGGCTTCAATTTTCTCGGATTGATTGTGAAACGATTCCATTTGAGCACTGTTTGGCTTCTCGTCGAAGTAATAGTACCAGCTGTGTTTGTTCTTTACGTGTTTTCTACAGCCTCTTTGCGTAGTGAATCCATCGTGGTTACAAATCTGCACCGGGCAGTGAAAAAGACCATCGCAGTCATCCTCTTCTAAGTGAAGTCTCTTTGGTTTAGGCGATGCATTTGCTAACTTTGACCAGTTGACATCCTTGCCTCGTTTGTTCATCTTAAGCGTTAGCTTGAAATCGATATCTTTCTAAAGTATGCACGCACTTATACTAGCAAAAGGGTCCCCAAGAGATCATCCTATTCGCCACTGAGATATTTGTTAGCCCATCTCTGCCCACAGTTGGTCATTCTTGCCCCTTACCCCATTGTTTTCTTGTCCGTATTTGGTACAAAATTAATCAAAAGGAACAACGACATAAGCCTGAACTTGCGGGGGCAAGCCCGAACGCGAATGAACATGTAGCGGGCAAGTCTCGTACTTAACTTGATTGTTGACGGAAACATGTTTTGATAAATTTGTATAGCGGGGGTGATGGACAGTAGTTTCAGATAGCCTACGATAAATAGGAACTATTGTTCCCTATTCCTTTTTACACTTTGCGCGAAATGGAACGCTGGTTCCTTTGTCAAAAATTCGGAACCTGTTCCCATTTATAAGCGGAACATTACACTCTTCTTTCCTCACCTGACAACAGACCTTCGAAGCGAGCAAGACTCTCGAGAAGCCAAACAACCGAGGGACAGAAGCGGGTGACTAGCTTTTTCAGTTCGCAGAAACGTGTAAAAAAGTAGGATCAACTTAGGTGCCCGTACATCCAATTTAAGATATACTAAGTTAAACTAATTTGAAGGCCTTTACGCCACAGAACACTAGTATTATTAATGTTTTGTTGTCAGTTTCAAATACCACGTCATTTTTGCATGTTTTCTACGAAGCCCCATGATGGCATGGTCATGCCGAGAAATTCAGTCATTAAATAAATCATATTGACTTTATGGATTTAGCTTACATTATCTCTTCTTCCTATAGTTGTTTCTCGCATTTTATGTGGGGCTAAAGTTTACAATAATTCATTTATTTGAGTTCAAGATTTAAGATAGCTACATGCCCTTGAGTTGGTTCGTTAAGTAGGACCTTGCCAACGCTGCGTCGATTTTGAATATGATCCAAATCTTCGAGCGGCTCGGCTCAGAAGAGAGTTAGCTGTTCTTCCCTTTTGGAACTGAAAGTCGGGGTCTGTTAGAATCGCCTTCCATTGCCCAAATCCGTGCCGTTTAAGTCCAGCTTTGAGGAATTTGTCTTCCTCGGGGGTGAACATTAAACTCTTCCGTCGCGTGCTTGTTTCGGTCACTCTGAACGCATTTTCGCGCCTCAATTTTGGCACTCCTACTAAAGGCTCGCGTGTTGTATCTGTAATTACGTCTTCTTCGTCATTAGAAGACGTATCGGTTTTGCTAACATCTTGTTCTCGTGAAGAACTTGAATTCTCAGAAAGCCTAGAGCGTACGTCCATCTCTAGCTCTGATCCCCTCTCGCCCTGTAGCCTTTCCAAAAATGCATGTGCTTTGCTGGCGACTTCGCGAGATCGCCGTTTTTGATAGTGAACTCTTGCCACAATAGAGCTGTGTTTCTGGTCCTCGGAGATCGCATCTTGCGCGCTGCTGCTGAGAGTTCTAGAGCTTGCCGTCTCCACTATTTGGCTGTAGCGAGTTGGGAGAACATACTTGCCTGTTGCAACACCAATTTACTCATTGCTTCTCCTAGCTTGTTATGTTGTCGACCATTTCTCGTGACTAAAACATAATCACAATTAGGCTTGAGAAGTGGGCGAATGTGGTTGATGTAGCCTTCTAGGACTTGCATACTGGTGTCTGTCAGGAAAAGGGAATCAAAACCATACTTTCCAGCTGTCTTGAATTGTTTTTGGTCTATGAATCCGCCGTTCGTCTTAGCTTTGTCGACCATTTCTACGGTTAGATATTGGTATGTCATCGGTCGTGAGCCTTTAACCTTGATAAACAAATAGACTGCCAGAAATTTGGTAGCGAACGATAACTCCAGTGGCGAAACAGTATCTGATTTATCCCTGCATGTTTTAAGCACGCTCTCGTAGCGCGGCAAGTAACGCCCCACCACCTCTAAAAGCTCTTCCATGGTGGCGCAGTGCCCCTTGGCTTCTAAAGCGTCAATATCGAGTTCGCTGGTCCATTGTAACCTCATCATCTTTGACACGGTTTTTCGCACCCTTTTTAAGTACATTTCTGCTGTGGAAAGGCCTCTCCATACTGTTTCTGATGCGCCATTTACTTTTCTGAAATCCGCTAATTCTGCAATAGCGTCCAAGTAACCTATGCGTCCCGCGTGTCCGAGTTTCCATTCATCCTGCATCGTATCAACGAATTTAAATAGGAGATTCGGTGAACATAGGCTGAAATCAACAATGCCAAATGTGAGTTCCTCTTCGTCTTCGCAACAGAATTTGAGAACCTTTATACACCTGCTGACAATTTGCTGTGCTTGTCGATCGCTTTTACAACCCCCGCCGCTGCCAGTTAGCCATGAGGAAAAACTCTTAGAAATGTTGTTTTTCAAGTCAAATGAGGCAATTGCTCTCGTTGTACGTGGAATCGTCCGATCGTTGGCTTCAATTTTCTCGGATTGATTGTGAAACGATTCCATTTGAGCACTGTTTGGCTTCTCGTCGAAGTAATAGTACCAGCTGTGTTTGTTCTTTACGTGTTTTCTACAGCCTCTTTGCGTAGTGAATCCATCGTGGTTACAAATCTGCACCGGGCAGTGAAAAAGACCATCGCAGTCATCCTCTTCTAAGTGAAGTCTCTTTGGTTTAGGCGATGCATTTGCTAACTTTGACCAGTTGACATCCTTGCCTCGTTTGTTCATCTTAAGCGTTAGCTTGAAATCGATATCTTTCTAAAGTATGCACGCACTTATACTAGCAAAAGGGTCCCCAAGAGATCATCCTATTCGCCACTGAGATATTTGTTAGCCCATCTCTGCCCACAGTTGGTCATTCTTGCCCCTTACCCCATTGTTTTCTTGTCCGTATTTGGTACAAAATTAATCAAAAGGAACAACGACATAAGCCTGAACTTGCGGGGGCAAGCCCGAACGCGAATGAACATGTAGCGGGCAAGTCTCGTACTTAACTTGATTGTTGACGGAAACATGTTTTGATAAATTTGTATAGCGGGGGTGATGGACAGTAGTTTCAGATAGCCTACGATAAATAGGAACTATTGTTCCCTATTCCTTTTTACACTTTGCGCGAAATGGAACGCTGGTTCCTTTGTCAAAAATTCGGAACCTGTTCCCATTTATAAGCGGAACATTACACTCTTCTTGAGGGACAAAAAACCACCTCGATTAGGAACAATTCCGTTCCTGTTGGGCATGAATAGGAACAATTTGAACGGAAAGGGAACAAGGCGTTCCGAAAAGCAGTGGATATGCCAGTAAATAGGAACAATTTGTTCTTTACTGTGTAGAGCGAGAAATTAGATTGGGAACATTTGTTCCCCAATCACTTCGAAAGGAACATGAAGGGAAATCGGAACTGTTGAAAGAGGAACTTTTGTTCCTGAAAGCATAAAAGAGGAACCAGTTGTTCCTTTTGACTAAAACGAAAAGGAACTTTGTGTTCCAGTTTGCTGCTAAGGGACCAGATTGTTCCGAAATTCGCCGATCTTTGTTCCTATTGTGCAAATAAAGTTCCTTTATTGTGCGTTCCTAGGTTGTTCCTAAAGCAATTAAAGGAACAAAAAGCAAAAACGCGCGGAACACTACGTTTTTGAAAAAGAGATGTTTCCTCGTGTCGCGTCACTTAAAATCAAACTTTGAAAGTTTCCTCATGTAAAAAACGGCCTGAAAATACTGAGAACAAAAATGCAATTGAAAACTACGGTGTTTTAACCTGAAATGTTGCTATCATTACTTTTGGGGAATGTATATGAACTTTATTAAATAGTCTCACGTCTTATAGCTCAGGCACAGTGCCTTACTAATTGGGGAGACTGTATCATATATACAAAACTCCAGTAATATATTGTAAATTCTAATTATAATAAAAACTCTAAATTCTAGTTCTAATAAATAACTACCTAATAATATCTCTGAATCGTAAATTGAGTAACTCTAAAAAAAGTAAAATGGTGAGGCGGACTAATGCCAACTCTTGCAAAGGACACAGTCGTTACACGAGTAATCTATTAACAAGGCAATGTCTGTTTTTCTGGTGCCTTTTTTAAAGTTGCTGAGTGTACATGCTGATCTTAGCTCCCGTTAATTTTGGACCAAAGAAGTGGCCCAAATTGCCTGAGAGAGAGTTTGCCGTTTTTTGTAGTGTTGAAACATTCCTGTCTGAAGTCTGCGTTTCTGAGGTTATAGTTTGTGTGACCAGTGTTAAATAGTTCGGTTACTGAGCTTGGCAACATGCCATGCTTTATTTTGAACATGAAAATGGCTATATCCTGAAGCCTCCGATTATAAAGTGTTGTAATTTATGCTCTGCTTAGGAGGTCATCGTACGATGCGGACCAGTCATTGTACGTAGACTGTCCGCAGGCCCCTTTTGTTAATGCGCTCCAGTTTCCGCCTATCACTAGCCTCACAGAAGTGCCAAACGAGACTACAGTATGTGAAGTGTGGCATAACGGCTGTTTTATAGGTTGTTAGTTTTGCTGTTGTGGGGATCAGATTCCTTAATCTAGATAACACGCCAATTCTTCTGCTTGTTTTGGTAAAAATTTGCTTAACATGTTCCGAGAACTGTAGGTTTACATCCTGAGTATCACCCCCAGTAGTTTAATCTCTTGAGCGTGCCGAATTGTACGGCCATCGATGTGCACCGCTTTCTTAACTTCCTGCTTGGCTCTTGACATAACTAGTGCTTGATATTTCGATGGGTTACCCGAGAGGTAGTCGGATTTATACCAGTGACCAGTTGTATTTGCGTCCTCCTCGCGACTGCTGACGACGTTGTCAATCTTCTCACCCGAAATATATGTTTTGTGGTCGTCAGTGTAAGCACTCAGTTGAGGTCAAATGTTTTCATAAAACAGATCATTTTGATAAAAATTCCACAACACTAGGTCAAGAGATGACCCCTGGGGGCATCCGGGTTTGACTGCTTTCCATTCTCATGTCGCCTAGTCGCACCCTGTTTTTCCTGTTCGTAAAATAGGACTTTAGAAGAGCCAAGGAGTTGCTACATAGACCATATGCAATTTACGGACCGTAAACATACCAGTTTGGGATCCTTACGGTCCGTACGGATCGACAAACCGTATATACCCTCTCTTGCCCCACTAATCAGATGCAGGTTACGGACCGTAAACGGCCCTTTACGAACTGTATGCCATTTTTCAGTCCATACGATCCTTACGGATCGTAAATGGATTACATAGTACACACATATACATACTTTATTGTTACCTCCCCAAAGGGGCTTTTCAGGGACAAAGTAGATTAAAAGAAACAAATACTTGGATGGATTATACGGACTGTTAAAGTGCGGGTGTATTGGACAACCCTCGGGGAGGGAGGAGGACGGATCACGCTTCCCTCCCCCGTCGCCCCTGCAATGGGCCACCTTTTTTAAAAAATTATTAAGGGAGGGTTGCGAAGGGCGGGTCATTTCATTAAAAAACAACAACAACAACAACAACAACTTGCAAACAGAATTATAACGAAAAATAATGTTTGCGTGGAGGTATTAGTCCCATATTTAAGTCCTGCATTTATTTAAAATCCGATGCTAAGATGAGTTCCTTTTCGGTGTGTGTATTCATTGAATGAGAATGTCTCTGAAACTATCGTATCGGTCGTATGGCGCTATTTTCAGTGCCTTCTTCAAAAGATGATAGGATGAGTCGCTTTCGAAGTTTCCCTTCACTTTTCGTGAAAGTTCAAACCGTTTAATAAACTTTAAATGCTTTCTCTCCCAAAATATGCAGCAAATTTCTGTCTGATGTTATTCACTTATTGCACTAAAAAAAAATTTGTAGTTTAGTGTTTGTTTGTTTGTATTTTTAATCGCTTCTCCGAAATTATATTGTGTTTGAAAGAGGACTTCGATTGGCAATTATAACTTCTAGTAATCAACACAATAGACAAAAATGGTAAAAAAAGGAATTTAACTGATCATACCCACTTTTATACTACTACATGAGAAATTTCTGCAATTTGATTGGCTTAGAGCAGTGGTATTTCAGCTTAATTTGAAATACCTACATGTGAAAATTACAAACCTTTTGCGGGTCGTAGTATAAACAAACAATAGCATGATTTGTATGTGATATTTGGCATAAATACCACTCGTGATATTTCAAAGTTGTCTCAAATTTCACTCGCCTATCGGCTCGTGAAATTACGTATAACAATTTTGAAATATCACTCGTGGTATTTATGCCAAATATCACTACAAATCATGCTATTACCTATACTAATACAAATAGAATTATAAAGTCGAACGTAATGTAATTCTATACTTATTCCTCTACGCTTGTTTAGACAGGTGTGAGCCTTCCAATTTATCTTAAACTACCTTTAAATCAAACAAAAGACAGAGATGTTTTCTTGTGCACTGGCACATCCAATTATTATGGAATGTTATTGCACATCACCTGAAACCGAAAAAAAAAAAAAAAAAAAAAAAAAAGAGAGAGAGAGAGAGAGAAAGAGAGAGAAGATATACAGTTGATTAGCTGTGAATTTTTAGTTAGACAAGCAGGAAGAAGGGTTCTTTTAAAAGATTCCTTTCACAGTCGCTAAATTTATAGACCCTTGCTGTTATAACCCAGGAATTTTCTTTGTCAATATGCTAATTATGGTATTATAGTTGATATAAACGTCTAAGCCTTCTACAATTCCATGTCGCTCTTTCATGTCGCACGTTCAGGGTCATTGCGTTATAATCGATAGTCTTTCGAAATTTAAAAGATGCGATGCGCAAACATAGCAAACCCTTTTGAACAACCAAGAAACAAAATAAATTGAATGATTTTGCTCCTTTTTGATAATTCCTTGTTTTTTGCATTAACTGTCATGGGGGGCGTCTAAAGCAAAATTATCATCGTAGAGAGGGCGTTATTACACAAGAGGCGTAATTTGTCACCCATGATATTAGACGAGTGGTAATTTTCATTTGTTTTATTTTTGTATTAGGATATATTTGTTACCGATTTGTAGAGACAGTACTAACTCCTATGTTCAATAAACTATATCATTTATTTTGGACTGTAACGCTCTATTAAGTAGATTTCAAATGATCATTCCACAACTCGATTTCATTCTTCATCCCTCCCTTAGAAACCTTGAACAAGTCTTACAGTTTTCATGCCACTCTATTTCTAGCAGAGTTGTAATATCGCTTGTTTAGACAATTTTGGCAGCGGAAGTCTAACAAAGTGTATTCCAAATTATTAAAATATTCAGACAGAGGTTCTTCATTTACATTACTAATCATTGCGAAATATAATTAGTAAACGGTAACCATTATATTCACTGGTAGATGTGTGTTCTCTTGGTGCTTAACACATTACCCTTTACCGGAGTCCGAAAAGAGATTGTTATATTCTTAGGAGAAGAAAATCAGAATTATTTCCTCCTTGTGCCAATGCGATAACATAAAAGTGAAATAATTTTATAACTAATAGAACATTCAGTCTTTTTATAAGAACCCGTTTTTAAAAAGTTAACTGGACTCGGTAATGTGCTCTTAAAACCTCGAGAATAATTCTGCGCCTTTTGCATTATCTGAGCCATGTTGTTTGAAATTTGACTGTTGATTCCAACAGCAGAACTTTAGAATAGAACACATGTACAACAGTTTTTTTAAAGGCTCAGTTGTAACTAAGTAGTAAGAAATAAATAAAATGAAGTAT